AACCTTTGGCAAAGCTGGAAAAAGAGGTCCTGAAATGCTTTTTAAAAGGAGGTCGTGAAATGAGTAATGAGTATTAATGTATTAATAGTATAAAAATATTAAGTGTTTTAGTATTCTTATAGCATTTTTAGTAGTATTAAAATAATCATATCTTTTTATAATGCAAAGTGACCAGATTCCCACCAAAATTGATACTTCTATCCAATATTGTTTTGCCAGCCGCTATTAAAAACAACACAGAGTTGCTTGTGAAAATCAGTAAAATTTATAAGAAAAGTATTCAATCTATTCGAGCAACGTTTAGTGCTTTCATGAATTGTCAACAAGAAAAATCGTCAATAGTAGACGACGTTCTCAAGAGCTTACGCTGTCTCATGGAGACAGATAAAATATTTTTATAAAAGCCTTGTTCATTCATTATGTAGAAATTTTACAGATTAGGTTTTAGAGAAAAGTGTGGATTGAAAATATCTTATATATATTTTATATCTGGATTTTATTTTGAGATAACTTAAAATGGATTTATTATTTCACGGATTAATCATGCAACTTTGAATCATGAAATTTTTTGGTTAAAGGATCTCGTAAATGACTAACACAGCTAAAATCAACAGGTTAACGCGGTTTGATTTATGACGCGAATGTATAATTAGATAGTATATCTTTTAAAATAGAAATTGGATTGTTCAATACACATGGAAACATGAAGTGTAGTAGCTTCATCCCATGAAGGAGTCAGACTTCTATTTCATCATACTGAATAAAGAATTCGCTGAAACATATATATGTGTTACCGAAAACTCACTTTATCTGAAAGGAAACCAACACTATTTACAATCGAAAAAAAATGTTTAGTGTTAATTAATGGACTGACATTACCAATTTTCTCTAAAAAATTATAGACTTCTATATAAAGCCATTACAAAATCCCTATGTAAGCGTTCAGTATTCAACTGTGGAGTTGAGCTGAATCAAAAACAGGCAATATTCAACGTATTTCCTTGTGTAATATAACCAACGAACCCTGTTATGTCACTAATGACACCCCCAAATGTGATCTCAATGCTAGTTTTTAAATGAAGAAAGATGAAAATATATTACAAGTTATTAGATTTGTCTTAAAAGATAACTCAACACTTTAGTAAAATAGTTACTCTAATCAATTTATCGAAAAAATCAAGCTCAGATATATACTTTGAATCTATGAGAACACAATCCAATATATGTGGTCACAATAATTCGCTTGACCGTAGAATTTAATCACTCAACTAAACCAATAATATTACTACATATGTGATAATAATTGTGTTTATATTATCTGTTAAAATTAGTAGAAATAAATATGCATATAATAATTTACCACGAAATGGCAGGGACCTGTTGTCCCAGGTTTAGCGAGGCTGATATTATATGAAACACTAGTCATAAGTACTGCTTACTTTCCTTGGATTAGTTTCTAAATAAGAAAACAAACATATGCAATACTAAAATATTTTTATTGAATAATTTTCCACTGTTAGTGTTTTTAGCTGTAAAAATAAATTTTTTAAAAAACAAAATTTTTTGAAAAAAATTTTTAAATTTAAAATTAAAGTCTACATTCTTTGAATTCAAATCGTTGGAACATCCTTCGCAAAGGAATTCACATATTTGTCTTTACTTAAAATTCACGTGCAGTAATGCAAACACTTGCCCCAGGCCTGTTCGCAACAAATGTCAAAACAGAAGCTAATATGACACCGGAAAAAAGAAAGTGCACAGAATTTCATCACAGCGCCATGGGGTGAAAAATTAGACAACGACATGAGAAGATGTTGTCAATTAGGCGTTCAACAATGCCGCAATCATTTCACGTCTCTTCAAAGTGAAAACCGGAAGGACTTAAAAACAACTCACATCTGAACATCTGAAAGCAAATCGAAGCGCGCACAAAGCATGGAAATGCTTCCATGATTTTCCAAGGAAAATTTGAAAACATAGCAAAAATAATGAACACACAAAGATAGAGAAATAGACAAATGAATGCTGTCTGTCAACGTCAGTGAGATTTAAAAAAACAAAATACAAACAAAAAAATTATAGTGCAGTTTATGCAACGAGAACTTGATTCAATATTTTTTAAAAAAAAATTTAATAAGAATTCTAAACATCACTACATACAAAGTCCTTTCTAATAATACTTTCGTAGTTCACGTTAAGCGACTCTAGCGTTTACACTATCTCAATTAACGTCTTTGCGCAATTAATATGTTAAAGGCTCAGTTAGTCCGTACGTAACGTAAGAACTTAAGCGAACTTAAACCAAAGCGAAATGCACAACCAACTTCACCTGTGTGTTTGATAGGAATGAAATAAATAAAAGCAGTAAACTTTGTGCCTATTTCTCTCATATAAAAATAAGCACAATCAAAGCTCGACTTTCACAGAAAACAAACTTTATTTAACACATTATCTGGAATACAGTGCTGCAAATAATAAAAATAAATGATTAGAAAACAATGCTAGAATAATGAAACTTCCTTTTAATAATTTCTTTACGATCATGGAGAGTACGATAAAAGTGCGTCACATATGCGTGGTTATTGCCCAGCGCTTACTCTGTTACTATTTTCGAAGCCTCCTTTCTTGAGAATGTTGGCCAACTCCAGGAACTCCAACTGCAGATTATGTGTATACAAATATATATTGAATATTGGTAGAAACTTGGGAAAACTTTTTATTTATAAATAATAATAATATGAGAGAAAGAGAGAAATTTCAATTTGCATTCGGTAAAGAGACTTTTTGCGCCTCTCAATAATTGTCAGAATTGGCGCCTATTAAGATTTGCATTTTCTTTATGTGAATATGTACGCATATATCGGACAAGATAAATCGTCACAAAAACAATGCCATATACATAACGTTGTGATGTCTAATGTTTTGAACGCATCCAATTTTTATATGTTTATCCCTTTCTAACTCTGTTCGTCACTGCAATTTCTTTTGAACGCTTGAGTGGCCAAAACAAAGAATGCATTGTTTCAATATATCTTTCTCACCGAATTCCAAGCATTAGCCACGGATTTTTATTATAAACTACAGACTAAAACCATAAACCACAGACTTCCACCACTGTTGGAGCAATATTTATTCTGCTGACAGTCACGTCCCGTCACATTCAAAGCTTTGCGGTGCAAAAAAGCAAGTGGACGACGGCCATAAACATTAGAGAAACAAAAATTGCTTGGATGTTCCTATTGGAAAAGTCAATACATCAGTTTCATAAAGATAATTTTAAATTTACCAGTCAAAAATAATGTGTCATAGAAAAACACAACACAAAAATATTTTTACAAATTCTAAAAAGTTATCGATACGAATGAAAAATAATCGAAGTATGTCAAAATTTGAAAAAACGAATATTAAAGTAAATCGTAAATATATTTAACATTTTTCAGTTATAAAATATATTCTGAGAAGTAAGTTTCGAGAAGTGTTCTCTTCAATTTTATTTTTGAATCAAAAAATTTTAAAATTACTTAGTGAAAATGGATCCGGAAGAGCTGTCTCGTTTAGAAACTATCCAAATTTATCTCGAAGAAACAGAGGAGTTATTAGCGTTTTTAAATGAACACAGTACTGAGCAAATTCAGGCCGTACGTCCTCAGCCTCCTGGAGCTGGTGATGCAGCTGCAACAGATCCAGATGCTGGTGCCTCAAATGAAAGTTCTAATGATCCTGGTATTGATATAACAGATACATCAAGTGAAAGCGAATTACGCAACAAGCTTTATCATTTTGTTCGTTGGGGTGAAATTAACTACCCGGAACGCCTTCCGCTGGAAAAAAGTGGTGATCTAGTGTTGCCAGAAACTAAGGCTGGTATCCAGGATAGTGAAGGTGTGAATGATGATTCAAATGATGTAGCTGCCTCATCGACTGAACCGACTACCATGACTCACGTTAACGTTGAAGAAGCTGAACCAATAATCACTGGTAATGGATGCTGTGAGAAATGTGTTGGTACTTGTGATGGTGTGACTAGTGTTGGATGTGATCCAATGATTAGTCAACTGGTTGAGCGCGTATCCGTGCACTGTCAATGCCGCGTCGAAACATGTGAAAAGGGCAATCAGACTATGGCCTCTTTGGTTTACCCTGATAACGGTCAAGATGAAGACAAATAGTTGTCAAATTTCATAGAGAGGTTGAGGATGATGTTTATGTAGTTCATGTTAAATTCTCCTTCTGTACAAAGTCCAGAGCTTACAAATTACAAGTATAATTACTATTCAGTCAACAAACTCAAACAAGGAAATAAAATTATATCTGTTAAGAGTCAAATAAAGTAAAAGTTTTTTTTTTTTGTTTATTTTGAGCTTATTTAGTTTGCAAATTTTTCTTGCTAAATTTTTATATATAATTTAAGAAAATTTAAAAATTTTTAATTAGTTTATTTTCACAACAACAGTTAGAGATGGGAAGTAACAATGAAGTGTGATTTGGTTTATTAAGCCTTCCACTTTTTCTCTCTCAATACAATCAAATTAATTTTGATGACTTATGGATCGATACCAGACTGTTCCAGTAGAAAATTCGACAGAGATTCTGAAATGTACCATCTACCTTTCTGCAGTCTAAGCCATTATTAATACGTAGCACTTATATACAAAACTTAGATGAGTTAGAACTGAAATATGAACTCGCAAGTTATATTTCAACTTTCGTGGACCTGACATTCTACGAAGTTCGCAAATATATATAATGTCAAGTTTTTGTAAAATCGTTAATAAAAAGTAATAAATTGTGTTATTCTTATGTGAATATGCTGGTTTGGGTATAAGGATCGCTGTAGTGCCATTTTTAACGACTTTTTACAGTTGCAAAATAAGTTAGTTTAACTTTTTTTAAAAAAAAAAATTTCTGTCAGAAAAAAACATGACTACTTTCTGAATGTATTAAATTTAGTTGTCAAAATATAAACATTTTCTTGTTAAAAAAAATAATATTTTGTTAGATAAAAAAAATATATACAAAAAGTTAAATTCTAAATTTTTTGCTCGTTATTTCGGCACCTTTTCGCAGTTTTCATTAACTTTCTCTTTGTCATCATGCCTTACAATCAGTTCGTAGAAATGCCAGAACGTATTAAATTACCGAGAATGGAGGATAGTGACAATGAAGCAGACGAAGGCGAAGATGATAATATAATAGCCGTCGAGCTAAATGCTGATGAAGGACGCGATGAGCAAAGTATTCGAGCCAATATTATACATCTTGGTGAATTTATACAAAGCTCCCTTAATAATTTTCAAAGACGTGAAGCCTTACGTATTGCAGCACTGAACACCGTAGGTATCAACACAACTCATCCATCGAATGCACAAAGTAACACTGTAGCCCAACCAACCACTGCTCATGGAAATGATGTACATATAGTTGCTGGAACCAGTCGTGTAAGAAATACTGATGGTGAAGAAACTGAACGAATTCTAACAAATTCCAACAACACAAATCGGTAGGTAACATTTTTATAAATTTAACATTCAATAATACTCTCATCACCACAAAGGCCCACCGTTTGAGTGTGGTTGCTGACTTCAGGAATGGAGAGATTACTTATACGACTACTAACAATAACATCGGTGTGAATATAAAATTACTCACTTTCTCTATGTAGTCCCAACACATCGAAAGGTAAGGTTTCTATAAATTCAACATTCAATAATATTGTCAACACCATGAAGGCCCACGGTTTGAATGTAGTCGGTGACTTCTGGAATGGAGAGAATACTTGTGCGACTACTAACAATAATATCGGTGTGAAAACACAAATATTGAGTTCCTGCTCGAAGTTATGGTTTGTATAATAAAGCTCGATAATGATTAATATATATAAGCATATAATCATTTATTTGTTAAAATATGTTCATAATTTTATTGAGCTAAACATTACTTAGTAGCTGCTTATGTATGTATATGCATATGTATATATTCTTCATGAAAATATTAATTAAGTTTTTTAAAGTTACTAAACTATTAGATATTCTTACCAAAGTTGCTGTGAACACATTTTATATTGAAAAGAAGGTTAATAAACTTTTGATAAGCCACTTAACAATGCTCCATTCCGAGTAGTAGTTCACAATTCGAGGTCATGGAAAATCTGTGGGAATAGTTTAAACTTCGGAACAAAAATAATAGAGACTACAATATAAGTAAATGTATTAAAAATTGACGTATTAAACAATTAAAAATAAAATTCTTATTCTACAGGTGTTACTCTTCAAGATTGTATTATCGACAAATGCTCGTCTATTTTGTTATGGTAGTTTTTTACGGTACATAAAATTATAATTTTGGATTTTTACTAAATAAGTCTATAAAGTTTTTAATAAATGTATGCGTATAAAATTTGGCAATAAAACAATAAATGAATTATCAATTCGCATCAATTATTATTTAGCTAATTATTACTTATACTACTAATATGATACGATAATTCAACACTGTTAAATATTACATATATTCAATATTTTCCATAGAAATTTCTCTGGTCTCACCCATATATATAAAATTATTAAAGAATCAAATAAATCCTGTGGCTTAGCACGCCTTTCACGAGGTGTTAATTTAAGCTACGGTATAATTGGGTGTAGAAAAAAGTCACATATGAAGTTTTTTTGTCAAAAACATAGAGCCGAACGATGGCTCTATGCCAACGCAAAACACTCACAACTATAATTGCACATCAGTGACAGATTGCACTTAAGACTCGCATGGCAAACCCGTGCAGTACTACAAACTTACAGGAGAAAAAAATGGTAAAGATATTTTTTACGGGTTTTTCATATTAATAGTTCCGTATACTTTTTTTAAAGAATAAAGTATATATATGAATGTTTAATTTTCACATATCGATCTTTCAATTGTAAATAAAATAATATGTATACAAAAGAAAAACCAGCATCTACCCCTCAAGCACCTCGGTGTCATTTGAGTCCAACTTTCAACTTAAAAATTACGGATATTTTATATACACTGAATATGCATTAACTTTTCTACACGTTAAGAATACTCAGGGAGTAGAGTATAAAATATAAACGAAATTTTGTTGTAATTAAAAAATTTCTTAAAAAACTAAAATTACTAAAAAAAATATTGGTCATTAAAACAATAAATTATTAAAAAGAACCATATATACCTATACTGTAAAACAAAGTACCTCTGAAGATTAATGTTATTTAAGACCACCTTTTAAATTTATTATAAAATTCAATATACTTTATGTACACTGAATACTATATTTAGGTACTAGTTTGGACATAACATATCTCTTCAGGCGCTTCTGCGCCTTCTTCAGTTTCGTACATCAAGTTCGGTCACTGCTCCCTTGACTTAAACACTGCACCAGAAACACGGTCGACATCTACGTCTTCTTCCTCCAACTACTACTGCAAATACGTTTTTCGCTGGACCGTCTTCATTCATTCCCATTAGCATGATAAAGACAGTGAAACCCGTGGATGCTAATTCGATGAATTATGTCAATGTCGTGCATGCGGTAGTCTTCGCCAACTTGTAGAGAGCCAAAGATCTTACAAAGAACTTTTCTCTCGAATATTTCTTCTCTTATATTAATATTAACTATTACTTTATTATTATATATTATTATTTTTTTTATTTATAATTATTTATTATATTAATTAATAATTATTAAAATATGTTAATATTAATATATTAAGTTTTCTGTGAATTTAAATATTTCTTTAGAAGAGAACTAAAACTTCGTTAAATTAAGATATAATGTTAAGTGGTTGAATCATGTGACATAATAATTTCCAAACTTCCATAAAACTATAAGTCAATAAAGTATAATAATAATAATAATTAATTTGCCAATAAATTGAAGTATAATTATCAAAAAGCGAAATCTGAATTTATGTGAAAATTGTGTTCCTAATCGAGGATAACTCACTTAATTAACTCAGTAATAAGCGAACCAAGTAATAAGAAGACGAAGTCAAGATGAAAAAAAAACTGAATAGAAAGGACAGCCAAAAACTTGGTCGCTGTAAAACTCACTCCCAGTGCAATAATTTTTATTATGTCCTTTAACCGCCTGCAATTAAGTAAGAAAGTCAAAAGATAAATTTGCAACATTGAAAGCGTAAAATCCCAATTGAGTTAAGGCCAATTAAAAAAAACTCGACAAATAAGCAACTAAGCACAAAAATCCGAGTGCTCCGAGCAATAAACCATAAAAAAGGGAAGGGAAGAACTGAAAAAGGCTTATCGAATGCCTGTGTCATGCGGAGAGTGACTGCATTCTGGGGAGCGCGGGACGTAGCGCGGCAGACTGCTACATAGCTCGTGCCGATAGTGAAACGACATTGGAAACTATTTATTCCGCACCAGAACATAGTTCATGGTACAAGCAAAAAATAAAAAAAACACTAACACTCACTCTTTAAATTATTCCATAGTTTTGCTCTTTCAAAATTATCCAACCTTACACTTACAAATGTTTCCACTTGAAGCCCAGAGTAAAGAGTTAAGAGTTTTAAACCTTAAAGCTTTCATTATTTTCTAGTATAAATAAATTTTATTTATTTTCCTTTTCTACTTAAAGTAATTCACTTTTTTTTTCAAATAATTATTATAAGTCCTGAGAGCGGTACTTAAATTGTTAGATTTCAAGACGGTGAAACCAACAAAACCATTTTATCCTTGCAGCCGCAACGTTGTTGAACAAACTTGACATTTGGTGGCAACAGAAGGAAAATCAGGACTTTTTTGACAAATAAATCATTTTTTTTTGCAGTAAATAATTTATGTTGAATAAAATAAAAGGGATTAAAAAAAAAAAAAAAATATTTAATTTCTAAATCAAAAAAAAAAAGAATATTTAATAAATAAAATATATGAGCAATAAAAATTTGCTGTTAAAACTCGTTTAAAATTGATTATAATGAATTCTATTTATTTATTTATTTTGCCTTCAATGCTATTTAAACATAATAATATTTATATATTATAAGTATATGTATATAATAAATTATAATAAGATATACTTTATTATATATATAAAATATTAACCTTACATCTTCAGGCGAACTCAAATTACATCGTATACGTATTTAAAAAAATGTTAGTTAGTCAAGTTATACAGCCTGTAGAACTATGTAGTGACTTTCATGTCCATATCCACGAATGACGCCTGTCATTACATAGCGATTCGATAGCACAGGTGGTTCGACTTGTACCACGGCTGACATATTTTCTACAGGATTTTGAGAGTATCGCAAATTTATTGGATAAAGTCTTGTTGCAGCCGATGTTGGAAACATTGGATCTGATGCACTTGTTGGTAGGTCAAACATTCCAAACTCGCCAGCAGTTGGTAACGCTGATGGATATGCGTCTGAATCTAATTGACCAGCATTACCACCTTTTCCGGTATATGACACAAATGGAATATTATACAAGTCAATGGAGTTTACTGTTGAGCGAGTCTGAGCAACAGATTGTGCTCCTGAACGTGCATGTTCTACTGCCGAGGTTGACTGAGAAATATGACTTTGACAATATTGACACTTTCGAAAAGCACTAGCAATAGTAAGTGTTCTATTACCAATTAACACAATTTTCTTAAACGCTTGAACTTTTTTTGCATCATCTGCATTTTCAAAAGTTACAAAACCATAGCCTTTGCTAAATCCCTCTGCGTTAGTTACAAGATTGACCGTTTTAATACGTCCATGAGCGGAAAAAATTTGTATTAGCTCGCTACATCCAATATCATCTTTTAAGTCGCCCACATAGATTCGGTTTGGCACAATTACAGAATAGTGATGCTGTCCTCGATGTTGACGAAAACCGCAAGGCATTGGCGTATACAGTCTTGTAGTATATAGAGGATTCATCATGAAAATTAAAAACTTTCTACAATTTATGCTTTAGTGCTTCAATTGAAATTGCCTAAAAGATAAAAATGTTGTTAATTTATAGTTGAAATTCGAAGAGAGATAAACACTTTTTCATTTTCATGGATCTTTTTAATAGTAACATCGTAAAAATTCTATTTCAGAAAAGTTTGCAAATAATACACTTACTGAAGTGTAATAAATAAGCTGTTCTTCAACATGTACTGATGTTAAGTGTATTATCCCTTACTTACTTTAAAAAAAAAACTTTCCAATTCTTTAAATATTATTCCATAACTCTAAGTGTGTACAATAATCCCAAGGCTATACCATATTGGTGTTTGGGGGTTTCGGGTTAAACTAAGGCCCCTGTGCACTGCGACCAATTTGATCCATATGATCCATAATTATATACTTAAATTGTAATTTTTTATATTATACATGTAATCAGGAAAATTAATACTATGAGAGCGATTTGTTTTAGTACATACCATTTCAGTATTATCACCTCTACAAAATGCATAATGAGAGACCTTTTAACTATTTTAAAATAAAACTGCAAAATGAAATTTATTATCTCTTATATGTTAACAACTGTAGAATCAACACATAAACCACTTTCAGGAAATTTTTACTTTATTATATTTTTAACTAAGATGAATACTCGTCAAACGCATAGAATAGAATGAAGAAGACCATCTACATATAAACACCACTTCGGGTCAGAAAACACTGCAAAAATGATATCATATATAAAAGTTCAAAACTATATCCTCTACTAGTTATTCTATCTACAAATTCTAAATCCTAGATTTAAGCAATAGGAATTCGTAAAACCAAAACAATAAAATTTGGATTTTTCTGACATGAATTAAAAAGTCCGTAAAAATACACAAACCTATCTTAAGGTCATCATAAAAAACAAATAATGTAAGATGGTCAGGCCATATACGAAGAGACATGTTGTGACAATGTACACGAAGCTGGATAGCACTACTATAAAGCATTTATCAGTTTGGCAACCATGGCATAATCATTAAGAAAATATTAAAGATAAAAGTTAGATCTCGTAAATTTTTATATACTATTTATTATTAAATAAATATTATTATATATTATTATTATATACTATTTTATATATAATTATTTATATAAAAAAAATCACGAACTTTCACTGTAAATAAAATATTTATCAGACCAACAATATAAAATTTATCAATTTACATTGAACATGTGAAGAAAATAATTATACACAAAAATAATTTTCTCAGCAAACTAAAAAAGTATTAAAGGGTCTAAACCCTATGAGATAGGCGACCATACAATGGCTGAGCACAAAATGAAACAAAAAAATTATTTTGAATGTTCCAGTAAAATGACAAAATAGATCAAAGCCAATTGCAAATTTTCACCCATTTTTAGTTTAATGCACTTCTAATTCAAGACACAATAAATACAAAACTGTTTAGTTTTTTTTCTCAATACTGTATATATATATATATATATATTATATAATATATATATATATATATATATATATATATATATTAAATTAAAAAAACACCTACAAAACCTGTAAGTAATGCGCCTTATCGATGTTCCGTGTGAAGCACAGGTCGCGAGTACAGTCAGCCATATTAATTCACACACACTACAACTAACATAGTGTATAATAAATAATATTACGAGTATAAATTATATGCGTTCACTAAGAAAATAGACCAAGCAAATTTCTAAAGTAGCAGTGGGGTCTCGAGATACTACTCCATAACAACAATGCAAAAACAAAGTAACTTCTGACAAATGCTAAATATATTAAATAAAATAGAAGTCTTATTTCACAATTTCAATACTTGTAAACTGTATCTGAATACAGACGTGCACTATATTTCTGTTTGACTTTTTATTTAAAATGATCCACGTTTTAATTTGTTATATTAAAATAAAAATTACTAACCAATTTCACTTTCACCAACCCGAACGTTTCAGCGAATGTTTAAAGAACCGACGCCGTTGTGCGCAAAGAACAAACTCAGATAAAATAGAAGCTAAATTTGTACTAGAATGGAGTAGGAGCGACATCTGCCACCAACTATTTACGCCTTATGTGATATGTTCAATAAGAAACTATTCTTTATATTTATAATCGCAACATTATGGAATAATTTCACAAAGAAAAATTACTAAAAAATCTGTTTTAAGTACATTCCACTTCAGAACTTAGTGATTTTATCGATATTATTAAAGGTTTATTCACATTTTATGCATTTATTAGATAACTTAGTATGACAATATGTAGAGTAAAAACATATGATTAAACCGTATATATATTCTTATTATCACAATAAATTTGTAAATAAGATTTAGGATAACGTTAGAGTGTCTATATTAATTCATACTAATCAACTCAATGGATCGTATACAAATTACATCAAATTCCCGTAGATATTCAATGAACGGCATTAATGATTGATAATAATTTCCTCATTAATACCATTAACAACCATTAATACCAACGATATTGTACTACATTAATGATTTATTGAAAAAGTTATTGTAAAGCAGTTGATATAAGAAGTACTTAACTACCTATAAACCATTTTAGAATTATAAATAATAACCACATATTACTATATATATTAGCTTAAATCTCTAATTAAATCTAATACTTAAACTTAAAATATTAATGTGCATTCAATTTAGTTGCTCTGATACTACCGGTTTTAATATATAATATTTGAAAATATATTTAAGATTGTATGGAAAGTGAACAATTGATTCCTTTACTATTTATGGAGAGGATTTAGAATTAAGTCTTTGTAAGAGCATAAGAAAAGAATTTATAAAAATGATATATATAATGGTTGTGTTCTATTTTTTCCCCCTATAGCTATATGTGTTTAACATTATTTCTAAAAAGAAAAATTTATTTCAAATCCATATCACAAGGATTATACTTCGCTGTGTAAATGAATGCGATGAAGTGAAAGAAGGAGAAATATAAGAACACGGAATTTGTAGTAGAATGGAATTTGTAGCGTGAGCAATTCTATATGGCATGTAGTCTCAATTCTATATTCATTAACATCCATACAAAAACTGAACATCTTTTTCTACATGCGTCTGTCTTACAACAGCTGAATTAATGCCGAATTAGTTGTCGTGAACGAAGTCAATATAAAAAATGTGAACAGCAGGACGCAGAAAAAATTATCGAAGTGCACACAAACAACACAATTACAATCCGATCACCAACTAGTTAGCATATAAAGAAATGCTAAGCAATTGTTTGCGGTTTATAACAGCTGACATCAAATTTCGGTGATATTAACATATAAAAACCGAAACTCATTTGGACTTTAAGCTTCCAAATATTTTTATCGGCATTGAATACATTTTTTTCATAAAGTTAAATTTCTTTGGTTATGTTTACGATAAGATGAATTGTTTTAAAATCCAACATTTGATTTTTAGAAAGGTTGCATTGCTTCATTATCCTTGTATAATTAATAATATTTATATATGATATATAAAGTCATGGTCTGTTATTGTTTTATTCCATCATCCATCGAATGAAGAATGCTCCAAAGTTAAACTGTATTTAAAGTTTTTAAAAAATTGGTAACATAATCTCTTTTAAGAATTTTAATTAATTTAAGTTTTTTGATAATTTCTAATGGATCCATGGAAAAATTTTTTATGTATAAAAAAAAATTTTTCTTTTATTATTTTATTTTTTTTACAATTAAAAAATGTATTGTATTTCATGTTTTTCCATAAATTTTATATATTTTTTCAATAAAATAATAGTTTCACAAAAAAATTTTTTTATTACATAAAAGCTTTTTTATTTTCCCAATGGCGTAAGTCACAATGTTGCATCGACCTTCTATTTCAAATTATAAATACATTAGTAACATTTTTTAGACTCAATTTATTCATAAAATATGCAATTATATCAACATTTTTAATATATATATATAAACAATTGCTATTGCTCCTTAAAAATGCTTTTTATTTCATAGATTTATTGAATATCCAAATATTTTGAACAAAAATAAATTAAATGGAATTGCTGGAAGTTTGTATAAACTGACATAAAATTTTTACCTCATATTTTTACTTAAAGAACCAAAATTCAATTGGTTCTTACCTTTCCGCATGTTTTTACTACGAAGCAAATAACCGAATGCATTGTTTTTCATTTTAGCCGTATTTTTTTCTTTCAGAGTAGCAATAAAATACTCGTAACTTACAAAAGAAAACATGTGAAGCAACAACTATGCTCTTAAAATCTTCAGAGTTAAGTTTTACTTGTAAAAATTTTTATGTCTTAAGTTTTAGTGCAGTCAAATTCAAAAGTCAGTCTATTGTGAATGTTCACTGGAAATATTTCGTAAAATTTCTGTCTTCCGTTAAAATCATACGAGCTACTAATAAATAATACCAATAAATTCAAAAACATAAATTAATTAATTAATTTAGATATATAACATATATAATATATAACATATAACGTATTTTAAAAGTGCTGCAAATTTGTTTCAACCAAACTTTTTTTTTTTACAACTCTGAAAGAAAAAATTAAGGCTATTGCACAATAAATCAGCTGGTTTCTTAGAGCATAACTAAATATGTTTCCACTGCTTACTTAGTAAATACAACTTACTAATAGCACATTTACACTGTCTTATTTAAGCGATTTTATTCATTATACTCACTAATGAAAATGATTTACCATATAAAGTGCTTTCAAATAAATGAACTCATTATCAGTATATGTATTCTTTTGACATGAATGCTTCAATAGAACAACTATTGATGCATAAGAATAACTTGGCATCACTGCCTAAATCAATAAATATATAACAAACGGATGGTATTCACAACTATAATATTTTGCTATCTAAAAAATTTTTAACAATTTCACTTCTTTTATTCCAGCACACATTTCGTATATATCCCAAAGTATAGCCTAGGGACAATAATTCAATAATTCGAATCGGCTAGTAGGTGACCGTACTGTCTTGATTTTAATTTCTAAGGTCATAAAAGCTATAAGAATTTATTTTTAATTCATTGCTAAAATACTTTTTATGTAAATATATAAATTTTTTATAATTTTTATGATGTAATCGAACAAAAGTTCATATATCATATATATATATATATGTATATATATATATAACTGAGCCCCAACTTCAATGCGACGGATTGTTATAGATATCTGCCATATATATATATATATATCTGTATCTGTTATATATCTGATATCTCCTCTGATATCTGATGGCAGATATCTATAACAATCCGTCGCAATGAAGTTGGGGCACAGTTAGGCCCCGAAAAAGCCAATATACTATCCAAGCTTGGACAGGACGTATAATTTTTTTGGGTATTTTGTTTGAAACTGTATCAATGGACTATTAATATTCATTAAATCTTTCTTCATTATAATTTTAATTATATATTTTATAATAATGCCTAGTTTATAAACTTCATGTTGACATTGTCATCAGTGAAAAAACAGACTTAGTTAATTAAGACGAATTAATAGATATAACATATAATCACGAAGTAAAACAGATTGTTATTAAGTGATTCAAAGTCAGTTTAATTTGAGATGTTAATAACACATTTAATGCAATAGCAATGGCAATTAATGCAACTTTACGATTAATTCTGACTCAAAGTCCGTAATATTACATATGCAAATGTGTTATTCATCTTTTAATATTAAACATTTTTAGATTATTACGAGTAATTCTGATATGAAATAAACTCAATTCTCATATAGAAATGATACCGAGTAGCAAATAATTCAAATGTTGTTTGGAGGAGCCATTGGGATAGTCAGTCAGGCATCATTTGGATCAATAACTTTAAGAACAGTGAAAGTTTGGTTTGCTGTTAAATAGCAGCTTGAAGTTTTTTACATCTCATTTTTCAATTTGCGTCACTGATTTTCTCTTAATATAATTTCATTTTTCCTCGTGTTATTTTTACAAATTACTTTAATAAAAAAAAAATTTCTATTTAGAAAGTTGTTGCAGAGGTAAAAATTCGACACTTTCGAAACGATTTTTCGAAGATTTCTGATTGCTGAAAAATTTGTGTAACATACCGAATTGCTTATCTAACAATTAGATACCCTTTGCACTGTTCTCAAAATTGAAAGAAGCACTCAGCAATAGATGAGATAGGCGAAAATCCAGAGCTAGGTAAGGAACATAGTTAAAACGGAATTTCTATAATGTTTCACAAATTGGGAACCATGACACTTCAAAGAGAAAGTTTCTAAGGGATTAGAATTAATATTGAAATTTTAATATTTATAAAAATATAGAGTACTTGTTGTGTTCCAATCTCGTCTCATTTGATAAGATTTTGTAATGTATAAAGAATTTGATAAAGAAAAAATTTATTTGTCATCGTTCTTTACTATTTTTATTTTTATCAAATAAAAAATAAAATTTTGTTAATTTCACGACTTTTAGTAACTGGAGATTTTTAAAGACTTTCATCTTCTCTAGTGCCATGAACAATGATACCTTCAGTGAACGCTGGAGGTGTGAAAGTACGACGATGACCATGTTGCCTAGCTCTTTGTACTATACGCGGCCACGGTATAGCAATACGCACCTGATGTGACTGCCTTGAATTATCCAACTGATTGCGATACTTTATTTGCAATATGGCATGTCTTCTCCTCCCATTTCTACGGAGTTCGGCTGAAGGATTACGTCTGCGACGTACTTGTGAGCCACTACGTCCTTGTCCTCGGCGCGGATATATGATTTGTATCTCATGTCTTAACATACGCGCATACGCGGGAGTTCGCTGAGTACCATATCGTCTAAGAGGCAGTGACATCCGATGTGTTCCCCTTGGTCGCAGACGTAATCGGAAATTACGTAAAGGTCCAGTATTCATGAGTATCACTGAAGTCACGAATGTTCCATGGCCTAAAAAAATTCTAATACAGTCAACGTCCATAATCCACAATGAATTTTAT